CTCGCTTGGGGCTCGGATGACAGCCCTACCAATTTCTAGCTGTGTGACCTTGAGCAACCCAGCCAACCTCCCCGACCCACACTGCTCACTGCAAAGTGGGAACGCTTCCTCAGCTCCACAGTCCTGAACTGAGACCTGGGGACTGGATGGCTTCAGAATGCAGAATTTCCCAGACTTTAGAGGAGAACTGTGCAGGTACTACATACGATCGAACACCCTCAGTGGTGTTGGAAGCAGAACCTGGGCTCGAACACGCTAACAGCTGTGCATCACTCTCCAATGCAGTGGGAGGAGCAAAGACCTCAAACAAGCAGCCTTGGGCATCGATCTGGGTTAGCATTTGTCCCAAATGTATTTGTATAAGCTGAATTCATGTTCAGTTTCTGAGTTTTGGGATTTCAGGGTTACTGAATTGACACAATGGACCTGACTCACACAGAGGTGATGAGTATAAGGTGATGGGCACAGAGGGGCCGGCCAGCTACCTCGTGCATTGCTCCCCAATCTCTGTCCAGCTCCCATGGGAGGAGCCTTGAAATAACCTAATGGGTGAGTTCCATGTGACAGACTGAGGCTCAGGGAGGGAAAGTCCTTGGCCGAGGTCACAGAGCTGGAGTGGCAGAGCTGGAATTGCATCCTGTGTCCATCTGATGACATTGCTAATGTCATTGTAAGGAGGAAGAGGCCCCAGCCTTGACATTATCATCAACAGAGAATGGTTGGGCTCTGACTCTGCCAAGTCCCATAGATAGGTTATATCATTTGACTTAGCTGTGATATAGTTAAAAATGAGCCACGTCACCTGCCTCTGCCCGGGCCCCACTGGTTTCTCCAGATGCTATAATAGGTTTGTTTGTTTGTTTTTCCTCTTTTTTGAGATGGAGCCTCACTCTGTCACCAAGGCTGGAGTGCAGTGCTGCAATCTTGGCTCACTGAAGCCTCTGCCCTCCCAGGTTCAAGCCATTCTTCTGCCTCAGCCTCTCTAGTAGCTGGGGTTACAGGCACACACCACCACACCTAGCTAATTTTTGTATTTTTTTTTTTGAGACGGAGACGCTCTGCCGCCCAGGCTGGAGTGCAGTGGCCGGACCTCAGCTCACTGCAAGCTCTGCCTCCTGGGTTTACGGCATTCTCCTGCCTCAGCCTCCCGAGTAGCTGGGACTACAGGCGCCGCCACCACGCCCGGCTAGTTTTTGTATTTTTTTAGTAGAGACGGGGTTTCACCGTGTTAGCAGGATGGTCTCGATCTCCTGACCTCGTGATCCGCCCGTCTCGGCCTTCCAAAGTGCTGGGATTACAGGCTTGAGCCACCGCGCCCAGCCAATTTTTGTATTTTTAGTAGAGATGAGGTTTCACTACGTTGGCCAAGGTGGTCTCAATCTCCTGACCTCAGGTCATCCACCCGCCTCGGCCTCCCAAAGTGCTGGGATTACAGGCGTGAGCCACCGTGCCCAGCCTCCAGCTTCTATAATAGATCCTCCCGACCCCACACAGAGCTCTGAGACAACTGAGCTGACCAGAGCTCCCGGGGAAGCCAGCAAAGCCAGGTACGGGGCTGTATCTGCGCCAACTTGCTGCACTGTGGCCAACACGCTTTCCGCTTCAGGCAGCACCTCTGCCATAGCCGTCCCCAGTGCTTTCTGGGCCGCCTGGACCTCCTGGTACCTGGGAGGAAACAGAGGCCATGGAGCTGGGTGCAGAACTAGCCCTCCCCATCCCTGTCTGGGTCCCAGGCTGGAGCCATTGGTTTGCAAAGGCCTCTGCCAACTTCCCAGGCAGAATAACCCTCTGTGGGGCCGGTACAGCTGCCTCGGGAAATGGCCGCTTCTCTGCAGCTTTCAAATGAGCCAGACGGGCTGTGAAAGGGCCACATTCTTGTTTCCGCATCATTCACTTCAGCCACACTTTGCTGAAAGGGCTCTGCTTGGTTTCCACTCAAGAATCACATGTTTGCAAATGTTTGGCTCTTCTGGGTGAATGGCGAAGAGGAAAATGCCCAGTGAAGTGGGGAGCACAGTGGCCCCGGCCCTGGTTCTGGCTCAGCCATGCCCTTTCCGGAGACCTTGGGCACAGCCTCACCACGGATGAAATGGAGAGCCCTGGGCTGCAGAATCTCTGTGGGCCCTTTTGCCCTGACGAGCCTGTGGTCTATAACCAATCAGCTAGGATGGATTTTCTGTCCTGACCAGCTGTCCACACCCTGTCCCACCCATTCCTCCCTGACAAGGGCACTGCTGGGGTGGAGACCTCTGGCTTCCCTTCCATCCTTTACACCTCCTTAAAGAGCCAGCGCCCTGCCCCGGAGTGGGTCATGTGACCTCCCCCAGCCATGCCAGCTGGCTCAGGGCAGGACATCTGATCTAAACGGAGCCAATCCCATTCTCGTTTAGGAACGTCAAGGGGCTCAGCAAGATGTTGGGGAGTCTCCACGGACCTTTAAACTGAGAAGGACAGAAGGGGTCACCAAAGCAGAGAAGCAGAGCCGGCTGTCTGCAGAGGCAGAGAAAGAAGCTGGTGCCGCAGAGGAGCGCAGAGGAGCTACCCTGGGCTGGGGCACAGGGGCCAGGGGGCGCTCAGGGAATGCTGCAGAGGGAGAGCGAGGTATCTGTTGCTCTGGGTTTCAGTTCTCATCCCTTCTCTTGAAGAGACTGAGTTGCACCCCCCCTCCCAGGCAAAAGTGGGTTACTGCGACTCACCACCGAGTGGCCCAAGACCCTGTGGCCCCATTCCCAGCAGGACGCAGACCCAAGACACCAACGACAAAGAATGTCGGGACTCAAGGGAGCTAGCCCTGGAAACAGCAGCCTCTGGCTAGGCCCTGTCGGCTCCAGGAGGCCAACCCTAAAGTTTCTACCCACACCTGGGGAGGCCTCACCTGTCCTCCAGGTCCCGCTGGGTCTCCAGGGCCATCCTTCCCTCCAGCAGACTCCAGAGAAGCGCGTAGCTGGTGTTGGAGGCGAGCAGGGCCCTCTGAGCAGTGGCTGCAATCTTGGTGGCGGTGTCTCTGTGGCTGTGTGAGGACACCCACCTGAGCATCACCAAGGGCTCGCAGGGAAGGGGCCCAGGACCAGAACTACGCCCCCTGCTACACAGGCCTCCTGCTGCCCCAAACAGAAGACAGCCACAAAGACAGGTACTTTTTTTTCCATCTTTCTGTGTTACACGTTTCAAGGACAGGAAAGGTACTCCATGCCCTGTTCCTGTTACAGAGACATGGAGTTTGTGTCTGTTGTCTCGGCATAAGGATTAATAGGATTTTTTTTTTTTTCTGAGACAGAGTCTCACTCTATTGCCCAGGCTAGAGTGCAGTCATGTGATCTCAGCTCACTGCAACCTCCCTTCCCGGGCTCAAGCGATTCTCCTACCTCAGCCTCTCGAGTAGCTGGGATTACAAGTGTGCACCAGCTAATTTTTTTTGTATTTTGGTAGAGACGGGGTCTCACCATGTTGGCCAGGCTGGTCTGGACCTCCTGTCCTCAGGCGATCCACCCACCTCGGCCTCTCAAAGTGCTGGGATTACAGGTGTGAGCCACTGCCCCCAGCCAGGGCCTTACTTTTTTCTTTTTAAGAGATGGAGTCTTACACTGTTGCCCAGGTTGGAGTGCAGTCAGTGGTGCCATCACAGCTCACTGCAACCTCAAACTCCTAGGCTCAAGGGTTCCTCTCGCCTTAGTCTTCCAAGTAGCTGGGACTACAGGTGTATGCCACCATGCCCGGCTAATTTTTTTTTTTTTTTTGAGATGGAGTCTCGCTCTGTCGCCCAGGCTGGAGTACAGTGGCCGGATCTCAGCTCACTGCAAGCTCCGCCTCCCGGGTTTACGCCATTCTCCCGCCTCAGCCTCCCGAGTAGCTGGGACTACAGGCGCCTGCCACCTCGCCCAGCTAGTTTTTTTGTATTTTTTTTTAAGTAGAGACGGGGTTTCACCAGGTTAGCCAGGATGGTCTCGATCTCCTGACCTCGTGATCCGCCCGTCTCGGCCTCCCAAAGTGCTGGGATTACAGGCTTGAGCCACCGTGCCTGGCCTGCCCGGCTAATTTTTTAAATTATTTTGTAGCCATGGGGGTTTCACCATCTTGCCTAAGTTGGTCTGTAACTCCTTGCCTCAAGTGATCCTCATGTGTCGGCCTCCCAAAGTGCTGGGAATACAGGTGTTAGCCACTGTGCCTGGCCAATAGGACATTTTATCACACATGAAAGCATCTCAGTTTGGACAATAAATTGTACAGTCACCCCAATGTAGACAGCATAGAAGAGAGTGGTCACAACAGCTTGGGTTTGAATCCTGGCTTTATTGCTTCCAAACTGTGTGTCCTTAGGAGGCTCCTTAACTTCTCTGAATGTTTTCCCATCTGTAAAATGAGTCTAAGGTCCCTGGAGTATAGCTAAAGGAGAAAATTGTCACAGATCCTGTGTTTTTAGGATCTTAAGCTGCTTTTCTTTTCTTTTCTTTTTTTTTTTTTTTTTTTGAGATGGAGTCTCACTCTATTGCCCAGGTTGGAGTGCAGTGGTGTGATCTCAGCTTACTGCAACCTCTACCTCCCAGGTTCAAGCAATTCTCCTGCCTCAGCCTCCCAAGTAGCTGGAATTACAGGCACCCACCACCATGCCTGGCTAATTTATGGACTTTTAGTGGAGATGGGGTTTTACCATGTTGGCCAGGCTCGTATGGAACTCCTGACCTCAAGTGATCCACCTGCCTTAGCCTCCCAAAGTGCTGGGATTACGGGTATGAGCCACTGTGCCTGACCTTAACCTGCTTCCTTTTTTTTTTTTGAGACGGAGTCTCGTACTGTCGCCCAGGCTGGAGTGCAGTGGCACGATCTCAGCTCACTGCAAGCTCTGCCTCCTGGGTTCACACCATTCTCCTGCCTCAGCCTCCTGAGTAGCTGGGACTGCTGGCGCCTGCCACCAGGCCCGGCTAATTTTTTTTGGATTTTTTTAGTAGAGACAGGGTTTCACCGTGTTAGCCAGGATGGTCTCGATCTCCTGACCTCGTGATCCACCCGCCTTGGCCTCCCAAAGTGCTGGGATTACAGGCGTGAGCCACCGCGCCCAGCCTTAAGTTGTTTCTTAAAGGCAGTGGATGAAACAACCCAATGTCTGTGAACGGAAGACGGATAAACAACATGTGGCATTTCCATACAATGGGATATTATTCAGCCGTAAGAGGAGCAAAGCACCCATCCAGGCCACGATGTGGATGAGCCTTGAAAACACTGGGCTAAGAAGCTAGTGGTAAAAGGCGACACACTGTGTGATTCCACTTCTATGAGACGCCCAGAATAGGCAAATCTATAGAGACAAAAAGCAGAGCAGTGGTTCCAGGGCCTGGGGGGGTAAGGAGAAACGGGGGCTGATGGCAGATGGGTCCAGGGGTGTTTTTGGGGTGATGAAAATCCTACAATTGGCTGTGGTGCATGGCTTTGCAACCCTGAGAATATAGGGAAACCACTGAATTATACAGTGAGACAGAGTCTCACTCTATTGCCCAGGCTGGAGTGCCGTGGGCAAAGGCCTCTGTATAGTGTGAACTATACCCCCAGTATAATAACTTGTGTATTATACAACTCTCACAAAGAGAAAGCAGGCAGATGCTCTCCGACGCCTTCAGTCAACCAAGCTTTGCCCCCAACATCTCTGGACTCACCTTGCCTGCTCCTCCACATACTGGTGACACTGCCCCCACCAGACAGCTCTTGTAATATCTGATCCCAACTTCTGGGTGGGGGCACCTGTGGGGCTGACTCTGACTCAGGAACCCCCAGGAGAAGGGCCAGGCACAACCTCACCATGTCTTGGGACTCACCTCCCGGCGAGGGCACGGGCCTCTGTGGCCAGGTGGCTCCATTTGGTGGGTTGGCCGGGACCATCCTGGGGAATCTCCTGTAGAAAGAAGAGGAAGAGAGGAGGAAACTGACTTCCCGTCCCCGAAGGGCAAGGGCCACATCTGGCCCAATTGTGAGGCAGAACTGGATAGCACCAGTCGTTCTATAAATGCACAAAGCTGGCCACGACATCGGTATCCAGTGAGCGGAGTCCGAGGATGCAGAAACACCAATAAGGATGCTGCCCACCACCTACTGTGCATTCAGTCTACTCGGAACATGCCTCGCCCTTTGCAAATGTCCTCTCGCTGAATCCGCGGAGGAGGTACTGTGTGATCCCCATTTTGCAGATGAAATTGAGCCTCCCAAAGTGGGGAGTCATACCCAAGGCCACTAGGTCAATGGGAAGGCTGGGGCAGGGACCCATGCCCAGGCTTGGTGTGTTTGGGTAGGGGGGGTCCCCTGGGATACCAGAGACGCGAGAATGGCAGCTGCGTGCAGAATCTCCTCTTCCGAGGACTCCAGCACTGCCTCCAGGTCTGCCAGCTGGGTACAGGTCTTCTGGGCTCCGGCCTGGGCACAGTGGGCACCCTTGCTCAGCCTCTGCAGCTGCTCCCGGGAGGCCTTCACAGCACCCTCAAGGCCCATCATCTGCTCCAGGAAGGCTTCCCGAACCCCTATGGGAAGCCCACAGCCCGGGGGTCACAGAGTGGTGGAGACATCACACAAAAGCCCCCACCCCAGGGGTCCCCTTCTGTGCCCTCCATTCCCCAGGCATCACCAGCCCCGAGCACCAACAGGTAGTCCCAAAGGCAGAGTCTCCCCATTTTCCAGATGCAGGCTGAGGCCCAGAGAAGGCAAACATGACCCAAGGTCCCACCCACAGTCAGTCAGTCACACACAAGGACCGGGAGAGACCCAGGCCTTCCGGGGCCACACAAGCAGTTCTGGACCCCTCAAATCAGCTCTAATTCACCATGTGGCTCACGTGGGCATTTTAAGACATGGTATCTGATAGCCCCTATTTCCACAGTGAGTCCTGCTAACAGGTTCTCAGCTCGCCTCTGTCTGGCTGCTAAAGGAATGTGGCGCTTATACACATAAAACTTCACAAAGAGGCCGGGCGCGGTGGCTCAAGCCTGTAATCCCAGCACTTTGGGAGGCTGAGATGGGCAGATCACGAGGTCAGGAGATCGAGACCATCCTGGCTAACACGGTGAAACCCCGTCTCTACTAAAAAATACAAAAAACTAGCCAGGCGAGGTGGCGGGCGCCTGTAGTCCCAGCTACTCAGGAGGCTGAGACAGGAGAATGGCCCGAACCCGGGAGGCGGAACTTGCAGTGAGCTGAGATCCAGCCACTGCACTCCAGCCTGGGCGACAGAGCGAGACTCCGTCTCAAAAAAAAAAAAAAACAAAACAAAACAAAAAAAAAAAGAAACCTTCACAAAGAAATCCAATCCATTTCAGCGCCTTTCCAGGTCCCAAGGCCAAATTCCTCCTGGCTTTAGTGACAGGTCTCTTCTTTTTTTCCTTCCCTCCTTCCCTCCCTCCCTCCGTCCTTCCCTGCTTCCCTCCTTCTCTCCCTCCCTCCTTCCCTGCTTCCCTCCTTCCCTGCTTCCATTCATAGAAACAAGGTCTTGTTATGTTGCCCAGAATGATCTCGAACTCCTGGGCTCAGGCAATCCTCCTGTCTTGGCCTCCCAAAGTACTAAGATTACAGGAATGAGCCACCACACCCGGCCCTCCTTCTTTTTTCTTATTTACTCATTTATTAATATTTTCTATGAAATTAATATTTCTATGCACTGTGCTGGGCTACGGCAGTGAGCAAAACGGCCCAGAATCAAGACAGCAAGACCTTCCCAGTCGAGCCTCTGGAGCAGCGCCTTGTGACCCCTCGTGGAGGGAGTGAATAAATGAATGAGCCCAGCCCCATCCTCACTGAACTTAGAGTCTGGGTAGGGCAGGGACATGGGGACAAGGATTGATATTCACAAAATTACAGGTGGGCTAGGGACATTGAAGGAGAGGCCCATGGCAACAGGGCTGTGTTGTGAGGGTCCCCAAAGCATCCGACAAGACCAGACAGCAGGCACTGGGGGCCTCCCCTTGCCTCCCACCCTCCCACTCTGCGCTCCCGCTGTACCTGGAAGCAGGTGGTGGCCCTGGTAGATGTCCCCCCTCGGGGCCTCTCCCAGCAGAATGTCTAGTGGTCCCCAGGGACTGCCACAGTTGGACCCTTGCAGCCACCCCTCCATCAAAGTCAGTTTGGCCTTCAGCTTGGCTGCCTGGAGAGGACAGGAAGAAAAGGTGTATGAGGCTGCTGGCATGCAGGTCCTGCCCAGACACTCCCCCCGGCTTCTACCCTGCCACTCTCCCTGTGGGTTCCCTTCTCCAAATCCTCCCCTGGGCCTCAACACTAAGGGTATGCCACACCCCTAAGAGCCAACCGTGCCCCCATGGTAGCTGTCGCTTCCCCTCCCATCCCCACGGCACCTGCTGACACCACTGACCATACTGCTGTCCTACCTTGAAGGGAGAGAGGAGGGGATGGGAAGGGATGCCTCATAAGGATTTCTGTCTGTCCTGTTCGCTGTGTTCCCAGGATGCCACACGGAGAAAGCACGCTATGGACACTGGCTGAATGTGCTATGAACGTCCCCTAGCCCCGTCTTTTCATCAGACAAACAATAATTGCATTTACAGAGCACTTCCTTGGAGCCAGTCTCAGCACGAATGCCTGCCACGCCCCAGCCTGATTCCCCCTGTCACCGCTCTAAGTGGCCGGCACAGGTCCCAGGCCCTGTCCGCCATTCCCAAGTCCAAAATGTTCTGAAAAGCCACAAGGCGTTCCATTCCTCACTCGACAGCGAAACCTGAACTGAAATAAACCTGTTCTGAAAAAGGCTACTTGTGGTCTTCATTTACCCACTTGGCGGAAATAGTCATCTGTTTTCCTGCCTAAATATCACCGGGCTTGACTCTGGGGGCTGCCCATTCGCAGTGGGGGATTACGTGATATTCAGTGTGGCATGTCTTTTTTTTTTTTTTTTTTTTGAGACGGAGTCTCGCTCTGTCGCCCAGGCTGGAGTGAGTGGCATGATCTGGGCTCACTGCAAACTCCGCCTCCCGGGTTCACACCATTCTCCTGCCTCAGCCTCCCAAGTAGCTGGACTACAGGCGCCCGCCACCTCGCCCGGCTAGTTTTTTATATTTTTTAGTAGAGACGGGGTTTCACCGTGTTAGCCAGGATGGTCTCGATCTCCTGACCTCGTGATCCACCCGTCTCGGCCTCCCAAAGTGCTGGGATTACAGGCTTGAGCCACCGCGCCCGGCCTTTTTTTTTTCTTTTTTGAGACAGTCTAGCTCTTTCACCCAGGCTGGAGTGCAGTCGTGATCTTGGCTCACTGCAACCTCCGCCTCCCAGGTTCAAGCAATTCTCCTGCCTCAGCTTCCCTAGTAGCTGGGATTACAGGTGCGCACCACCCCCACCTGGCGAATTTTTGTATTTTTAGTAGAGACGGGGTTTTACCATGTTGTCCAGGCTGGTCTCAAACTCCTGACCTCATGATCCGCCCGCCTCAGCCTCCCAAAGTGCTGGGATTACAGGAGTGAGCCACAGCACCCGGCCTTCAGTGCATGCCATCTTATCTTTCTACAATGCCACACATTCTGAAAGCTGGCCCCACTGGTTTCTAGAAAAGGATTGCAGGCCTAACTATCTCCAGTCTGGAGTAGGAGAGAGACTGAGGCTTACCAAGGCTGTTGCCTGCCCACACACATGATAATGAATGGAGTCGGGCGAGGGGAACCCCAATGGGTTAACCCTAGAGCTTGAACTCCTGACTCCAGCACCACCCACCTCCCCACTCAGAATCACCTCCTGTTAACCCTCTTTACCAAGGGGTCATCTGTGGTCTCATTCCCACTGACCCTGAGAAAGTGAGACCCCAGCCCGGCATGGTCGGGAAAGGCAGGTGACAAGAGTCACCTCTCCCCCATCCACCCAGAGCAGGGGAAGGGCCAAGGTGAGGGTTGAGCCAGGCTGGAACAGGCCCGAAGCTGGGTGGGCATAGGGAGAAGGTGGGTGGTGGGCTTGCAAGGCCTGAGCTCTGGGGGTAAGCAGGCAGTTCCTGGTGCCCGGCATAGAGCTGGCACTTGCTAGGGATACAGAATGAATGGAAAGTTGAGTGGGTTTGGGCAGACTCACCTCCTCCTTCACCAGGGCATAGCAGGACGGGCATTCCTGGCAGTGTGTGCCATCTGCCGTGAGGAAGAAGTTGTCGTGGCAGCGGTCACATTTGTAGCCCTCGAAGCCAGGCCTGCATATGCAGGTGCCGTTCTCGTGGCACTGGGCTGAGGCAGCGCCCAGTGGGGAGCACCTGCAGGCTAGAGGGGCCAGGGGCAGTGGGTGCTGGGTTCTGGGTGTTCCCAGAACGCCCTGGGCAGCATCAAAACCAGATTCCTGGGCCCTTCCCTGGAGATTCTGATTCAGAAGATTGAAGGTGGCACAGAGCCTGGCTTATTCCAATGTTCCCTGGGGATCTGAGGACCAGCCAGGTTTAGCAACTGCTAATGCGGCCCAACTCTACAGGTGAGGAAACTGAGGCCCAGAGAGTGACATGATGGCCCCAGGAACACAGGCACTTAATAGCGGCATCTGGGACTACATTTCTGGCTGGCATGAGGACGCTGGCAGGCTGCAGAGGGCCAGAGACTTGGGCGAGAGTCACAAGCACAGCCCTGCACCCACCGCTCTGGGTTCATGTGATGCTGCTCTCCTGGTCACTGCCACAGAAGCAACTCCCTCCATGCTTCTGGCTGCTCTCAGGACCCTGTCCCGTATCTGACCATCCTTTTCTCCTGCACCCATTTTCCCCATCCATCATCTCTGCCCAGAGACCTCAGGCCCAACCCTCCAGGCAGCCCGGGAAGGACCCAGCCTCCTTACCCCGGCAGCCCTTGATGGAGAAGCCAAAGAAACCCAGCTGGCATCTGTCACAGGCCTGGCCTGTGACACCTGGGCGGCAGGTGCACTGTCCAGTCTTGGGATGGCACTGGTCCTCCTGGGAGCCCAGTGGGTGACACTTGCAGCTGTGATAAGGGAAGGAACTGGGTCTGAGGCAAGCTCAGGGCCACTTCCGACCCAGCCTCTGCCAGCTGCAGCTGGCTGGCGCCTCAGATCACAGCCCTCTGCTGACAAGACCCCATCTCCTCTTGGTGCGTGGCACAGCTTCCCCAGCTGTGCTCTGGAAAGCACGAGTCTTCTTGGATGCTCGGGGAGAAAAGAAGATAAAATAAGGCTATGGGGACAAACATGTCTCGGGGAGACTATACGCCTCTGTTGGAAAGTCACAATGCAATCAGCATAGCAAGGGCTCTGAGAAGTCCTGCAAGGAAGAAACCTGTTTGTCCCACTTGGTGTTTCCCTGGAGTCCTCCACTGTTCCCTAAGGATGCTTGTCTAAGGTGCTACTGTGGCCAAAAGGCCACACAGTGACAGTGTCACTAAGAAGGGAATCAGAGACCAAACCGGCCGCCTGCCCACCTGGACATCCCTTAGGGCTGCTCTTGGCCTGCATCCTAGGCTGGCAGGACCATGAGTCCGATGCCAAGAGTCCACCCCTTTGCCCCCCCTTTGGCAAAGGGTACAACGTGCCTGGCAGTGGGCCTAGGACAACACCTTCCGAACCAGGCCCCTCCCTGGGGGCTGCCTGGTGCCTTCTTCCATCCTGGTGAGGTCCCCAGGGCTCCAGCAGTCTCACCCTACTTACCTCCGGCAGCCCCTCCCAGGCTGGAGGTCGAAGAAGCCAGGGTAGCAGCGGCTACAGTCCCGTCCAGTCACGTGAGGCAGGCAGGAGCACTGGCCTGTCACTGGGTCGCAGGGCATCTGCTCACTGACCGAGCCCTGTGGGTGGCAGCTGCAGGCTGGGGGCAGGAGCAGGAAGGGGTGTTGGCAACAATGCAGATTGTCTGTTCCACCTTTGGGGGTCCAACAGAGGTGGAGGAGATGGCGGAGCCTCCAGAGATGATACTGCACATTCAGCCCAGATTCCAACGCCCCTGCTGGACAAAGGCTCCAGGGCCAAGCTCCAGCCTCAGCCCGTTGACTATATCCTTAGAGGGACAGCTCAGGACGGTCATGGCGGCAGACAGTCCTTCTGAGCCTGCCCTGAGCCCTGGCAGGCTGCAGAGGGCCAGAGACTTGGGTGAGGGTCACAGGCACAGCCCTGCACCTACGGCTCTGGGTCCCGTGACCCTGCTCTCCTGGCCACCACCAGGGGAGCATCTCATTCTGGGCCAGAGCTGTGTTTCCTGCAGGGGTTCCACAAAAAGAGAGTGAGCAGGAGCCGGCAGCTGCGGCGTAGGAAAGGGCTCCAAGCACATCAGTGTGGGGCGAAGGCTGAGCTTCCATCCTGCAGGGCTCTGGGAACCTCCCGGGGGCTAAATGTTAACTGAGGCGATGCGGGGAAGCATGGCCTTGGAGACCCGGCGCAGGGCGATCACCGGGTCAGCCATATGTGCTAACTGCAGAGCGGGAAGTAAGTGGCAGACTATCCGGGCTTTGGGATCAGAGTTTATAAGATCTCCTGGCTGAAAGACACCCTGGAGAGGGGCAAACCCCTGTGCTTTCTGGACACGGAGACAGGGAAGGGGAGTGACCTGTCTGAGGCTGGATGGCCTTGCAGAGGGGCCAGCTGGTTCCGGTGGGTTCCTCAGCCACCCCTTCTGGGTCCTGAGCCAGGGCAGAGGAGAAGGGGCCCACTGTGCACCACCCCGGGGACTGGAGGTGGGTACTCACGCTTGCATTTGTCTGCGGGCCGAGGGACCAGGGCGCTCCCGTAGAAACCTTCACGACAGCGCTCACAGTGGTCACCCGCGGTGTTGTGCAGGCAGCGCAGGCAGTGGCCAGACAGGGGGTCACAGTTGCCCACGGCATTGGGGTCCACATTCCCGCTGCACTGGCACTGGTAGCAGGGCTGGGGGGGCCCCGAGAGCCCCAGCGGGTCCCCAAAAAAGCCATCATCACAGACCTCACAGCGCCGCCCTGTGTGTAGAGGGAGCACGTGTGAGGAAAGCAGTCAGCTGGGCCCACCAGGGATGAGGGTGGGTGTGAAGCAGAGCAAGCGTCCCTTCAGCCTCCCCGGGGCAAACCACAGGCTTGGGCAGGAGGACCTGGGACCAGCTCCCAGTGGCTGCCCACAGCTATGTGGTCCTGGGTAAGCCACTGCACCTCTAGGAACTCAAGTTCCTCTTCTCTAAAGTAGGGATAACAATGGCGGCTCCCCACAGGACTGTGACATAATTTGTGAAAAGCGCTTAACATCCGGCCTGACGTGTAGTAAGCACTCAGCAGCAGTGGCTATCATCACATATCTGTCCTCACACCCTCATCATCATCGTCGCCATCATCTTCACCATCACCACTATCCCCATCAGCACCTCAACCATCATCATGACCTTCCTCATCATCATCTTTTATTATTATTATCATCGAGATGGAGTCTCGCTCTGTCACCAGGCTGGAGTGCAGTGGTGCGACCTCGGCTCACTGCAACCTCTGCCTCCTGGGTTCAAGTGATTCTCCTGCCTCAGCCTCCGTAGTAGCTGGGATTACAGGTGCACACCACCATGACTGGCTAATTTTTGTTGTTGTTGTTGTTTGAGATGGAGTCTTGCTCTGTCTCCCAGGCTGGAGTGCAGTGGCACAATCTCAGCTCACTGCAAGCTCTGCCTCCCGGGTTCACCATTCTCCTGCCTCAACCTCCCTAGTAGCTGGGACTACAGGCGCCCGCCACCTCGCCCGGCTAATTTTTTGTATTTTTAGTAGAGACAGGGTTTCACCATGTTAGCCAGGATGGTCTCGAGCTCCTGACCTCGTGATCCGCCCGCCTCAGCCTCCCAAA